CTTTGGGCCTGGCTGTGCCCTGCGCTGTGGCTGTGAGGGTGGGGCTGACTGCGACCCCATCAGTGGGCAGTGCCGTTGTGTGGACAGCTACACAGGGCCTACTTGCCGGGAAGGTGAGTCGGGTTTCCAGGGGAGGAACTGAGACTTTCCTGTCCCTGGCCAGGAACCCACCCCTTGTCCCAGTACCGCCACCGTGGTGGAACAAGACCCATCGGTGAGACGCTCAGCCATCCCTTCCTGGCACCCAGAGTCCACACAGCGGGTGGCAATGAGTAGGCCTCAAGACGTTTCCCCTGGGCATGAACGGGTTGCACTGCCAGCCCCCAGCACCAGCCCTTTCCCTAGAGTGACCTAGAGTTGCAGCAGGAGCTCACAGATCCATATACAGGCAGTACTAGGGATTCAGTATGGGTGGGTGCTGTGTGTCCATGCATCTGTGAGCAGCAGTGTGTGCATGTACACCAGTGTGTTGTGAGCTGGTGCATGTGCACATGTGCCAGCACATTGGATTAGCAACACAAGCGTGTGAGTCAACTGTGCATGTGCAGGCATATGTGCATGCACTGTGTGTGTATATGCTCTTGGTGTGTATGTGGGTGTGTGGGTGTGTATTTCAGATACATGTCTTCCTGATGTATGTGTGTTCCTTCATGGTGTGTGTGCTCAAGGTGCATGTTCTATGGGTTGTGCATGGGCTTTAGGTGTAAATTCTCTGGGTGGGTACGTGTTCCGTGTATACATTCTTCAGGTATATGTGTGCTCTAGGAATGTGTCTCCCCGGTGTGTGTGCTCCATGTGTACGTGGCTTCAGGCATACATGTGTGCCCACATCTTTGTACTGCATATGCTTGTTCCAGTGATGTCTATGTACCAGGCATGTGTACCGTGTTGAATTCAAGTACATGTGCTACAGTGCATGCCTGGGTCAGGCATGTGTGTTTCCAGTTCATGTGTGTGCACCAGACACATATGTGTACACATGCTTTATTGCATGCTTGTGCCTGTGTGTACTGACATGCAGAGCTGAGGGAGTAGTCCCTTGATCCCTAAGTCCCTGAGGCTCTGAGGGACCGCACCTCCCATCTGCAAGGTAGAGCTGGTTGTACTGCACCCCTGTGGATACTCCAAGCCCCTATGACGTCTCTTGTTGGCTCCCCAGGCCCAGGCTGCTGAAGGAAGGATCTCTGAGGGAGGTGGGAGGCCAGCTGTAGTGCTCTGCAGGGTTGGACATGATAGAGGTGAGGGCCCAGACCCAGGAGTCCTCAGCTGAAGACCCTCAGTGTAGAATGGATACTGTGTGAATCATCTTTAGCCTCTCCAAGATGATCACGGCCTCGAACTGTTAAGAGCCACGCAGCGAGCTGTTGGGGTCAGGTTGCAATTTTCTGACTGGTGTCTGGGTACATAATGCGATCCACAGTGGCACCTGGTGGTCAGATGTGGTACTACATCCTAGGACATCAAATTCCAGAACCTTGACATTTAGCTGATCTTTGAGAACTGGGCTGTGGGGAGGGCATTGTTGACTCCTAGCAGTCCTGGGATAGCCCTTTTCCCTTGGTGGGTTTGGCTTAACCTTGGGTGAAGCTTTCCTGTCTCCCACCCTTCTTGGAAGTTGTAAGAGTGAGATCTGAGCAGAGCCCCTCCCCCACTGCTTACATGGGCGTGTAAGTGATGCTGTAGATGTGTGGGGTTCCTGTGGACATGGGTGATTGGTGCCTTATTGGCTCATTACCAGTGTCTACTCAAGTGCACAACATGAGCTGTCTATCACCCAACTCCCTGGGAGCCCAGAGTTCAGGTGGAGAACACGCTTGCCCGGGCGCTGCTCTCTGGTTAGGCCCAAAGGAATAGTCCCACACAATGATGAATACCTTTGCTCCCCTGAGCCTTCAGAACCTGGATCTTAAAGATGAGGCTGGACCACGGTGGGAGGGGGATGGGCTGTTGCTTTTGCTGGGCTTAGCTAATGAAGGAAGAAGGTCACCACCTTCTGCCTGGAATTGGCTGTTTTGAGGATTCCCACCTTACCTTGTTGCTGACCCTCTGTTCTTCCCATGTCCCCAGTGGCTACACAGCCATCCTCCAGCAGCCCAGCACCCCAGCAGCCCAGCAGCAGGGCCTTGAGGCACTAGTTCATGGAATCCCCACAGAGGACCACTACCATGTTCCAGCCCAAGGCACGGAGAGGACATGGGTGGACCTAGGACTCCTGGTTTCACACCTCTTCTGGAAAGCTATGGATCTCTGTGGAGGACTGTGGAGAGCCTCGACGTCACGGGGAAGAAGGCCTCAAGTGGACACAGTGAACCCAGGGAATTGGACCAGGCCTCAGGCCACCGTTTACATGGGAACCCTGCAGGCTGTGCTGAGGAATCCTGGCCCTCTTTAGGGACCTGGGTTGGGACCAAGGCAGGAGTTGGCGAGGCCCCACCTGCCTGACAGGTCCTTCTGGTGCTAGGCCATGGACTGCTGCAGCCAGCCAACTGTTTACCTGGAAACGTAGTCCAGCCCGTATTTATGTAAAGGTATTTATGGGCAGCTCCACTTGCCATTGTGGCCCTAGGTCAGCTGGAAGCTACCCCATCTCAGAAGCTTGGACGCAGGCCAGCGGGCTGTGGGGTCTCCAGAGTTTTGTAAAGTCCTATGAGTTAAAGACACAGTGGTGTCCTCATGGCCTGGGTTTTTGTGCTTTTCATAGACTCTCTTTGGGTCCTCCCAAGAGCAGCTGGCATGAAGGCTCTTGGACGGGAGCCTCCCCAGTCACGGAGGCCTAATGGCAGGTGCCAACCAGTCACATTGGGATTCTTCTGGCTTCTGGCTCTGGGGTCATGTGGCAGCTTCTAGCCAAGGTGAATTGTCCTAGAGAGGATGCTGGTGCCTAAGACACCTCCAGAGACCTAGCAAGTAGCTTCCTGTAGGAAGAATGTCTCAGAGGGAGCAGGGTGGGCCTGGCGTGGAAGGGAATCCATGCTTAACCCAAACAGCTCACCCCTGCCTCAACAGGGGAGGGCCAGGCAGCCTCACAGGAGCCAGGGCTCCCTGTGGATCGAGGCTGATACCACAGGTGTAGCCCAGAGAGGAGCCGCAGGAGTGGTGGGGAAAAGGCCCTGAGGACAGCAAAAATTGGGGGAGGGCTGGACTTAGACCCACCTCCCACCCAGAGTCGTCCCTTGTTTTGGATCTGGGGAGTGGCTGCCTCTTCCCCCCGCTCCCACAGCAGCCCAGGCAGCTGAAACCCCCAGGGACACTACAAGGGCTCCAGAGGGATGGGCATCCGCGGGAGCTGGGTCAGCAGGCCAGTGTACACAGACTTAAGTAGAGGAAAGGGGACAGAATAGTGAGTGGGGAATAGCTTGCAGGCAGTGTGGAATGAAGGAGGAATTCCAAAGTGCCTAGAGGGGAAAAGGACTAAGAATCAGATGACAGAAACTCCACAAGGGAACGACTGGCAGCCAGGAGATTGCGATGTTCTGTCATTGGTATTGAAAAATTAAATTTTATATCCAGCTAAACTGTCGCCATGCCCACAGGCTCACCCATGATTCTAATGTGAAAATATCCCTGGGAAGAGCTCAGGAGGGAGCCGTGGGAGAGCACGCAGGACATTTCCT